AAACTGTGTCTGTCTCCTGCATCGGCAGGTGGGTTCTTTACCACTAGCACCACCTGGGAAGCTCAACCTAGGGTGACCTCATCTTAAGATGATTTCCTCTGCAAAGACTCTGTTTCCGAATAAGGTCATGTTCACAGTGTTACCAAACTCAACAGTTCCTGGGGTGGAGGGAGGGGTATTAGGGTTTGAACCTTTTTGGAGTGGACACAGTTTAATCCAGAACACTACCTAATACCTAGTTCCTCACTAAGCTTGCTAATCTGCCCAAACGGCAGTTAGTGGTGCAGGGCAGGGCATGGGAGGAGAAAGGGGTGCGGCTGAAGCTGGGGGGCTGGGATCCTGCAGAAGCCCCTGTGTACTGTTAACTCAGGCCCCAGTTAGAAGGGGTGGGCTGGTGTCTGTTGGCCTGAGCTGATGACGCCTCCAGTGTAACCAAGCTCAGGCCTTGCTGAGATCTCCCCCAGCATGCACACGCACGCACACACACGCACACTTCCAACACTGTTTGGGTTTTGGGGTTGGGCCTGAGCTATTTAAGTCTTCCCTGGTGGCCCAGACGGTAAAGGATCTGCCCACAATGCAAGAGACTTGGGTTCAATCAGTGGGTCAGGAAGATCCTCTGGAGAAGGGAATGGCAACCCACTCCAGTGGCCTGGAGAATCCCATGGAGAGAGAAGCCTGGCGGCTAAAGTCCATGCGGTCACAAAGAGTCGGACACAACTGAGTGACTAACACACACAGTGCTATTTAGAGGTCAAAAGCTCACTGCCAAGCTGCCGAGTGGTATGGTGATGGAGCAGAGCTGGTCATCGTTAGTAGCAGCCGAGGCTTGGAATGTGTTGGCATTGGGGGTGGGGGCCAGTGGTCACCTTGTGGACGAAGAAGCTATCATCTTGTAGGTCTGACTGCTCAGCAGTGAGGACCTAGGTCTCCCGTGTCCTTCAGACTCTGGACTCTGCTGCCCAGCGCTTCAGGTTTCATCCACAGATGAACTGCTGACCTCTGGTTCGGGGTTCCCCCGGGGCCGCTGAGGTGACGTCTGTTGCACCTTCTCTTTGATTTAGATGCGGGAGGACTGTCATTTGGGACAGCTGGGGCACATGTTCCAGCTGCCGCTAAGCCTGTGCTTCTTGGGAAGGGAGGAGTCAGAGCTAGCGAAAGGAGGCTTCTAAAAACAACGGGAGGTGAGGCAAAAGTAGCCTCGAAGCCCAGAGGAAGAGTTTAGCTCATCCTGTGGAAGCCCAGGGAGGGCCCTAAGTTAAAGTAAAAAAAAGAAATTCTTTTTCAAGGGTGTAGATAACTGCCTCCAGCATGTGCTGTGCAGTTCAAGGCTGCAGGAAGATTCTAGCTGCTCTGGTCCCGCAAGGTGCCCACAGGTCAACACGGGGAGGAGCTGGGCTCTGTGAGTTGAGGAAGTTGGTTTTCTCAGTTCACCCGGGGTCATCAGGCTGAGATCCTAATCCACACCGGCCAGAGGCTCTTGACTGGTTGATTCAACAACACGAACAAAACCAAAAAAAAACCCCAGTTAATTCTTTTAAAGTTAGAAGAGGGCTTCCCTGGTGGCTCTGTGGTATAGAATCCACCTGCCAATGCAGGAGACGCAGGATGCAGGTTTGATCTCTGACCTGGGAATATTCCACCAGCCTCAGAACAACTGAGCCCGTGCTCCATGACTATCAAGCTTGTGTTCGAGAGCCCGGGAGCTGTGACTCCTGAAGCCTGTGCTTCCTAGAGTCGTGCTCCGTGCTCCCCAGCAAGAGAGCCCAGGATGGCAGCTGGCGAGGGGCCCCTGCTCACCCCACCTGCAGAAAAGCCAGGGCAGCAGCGAAGACCCAGCGCAGCCAAAAATAAATACTGAAGTTAGAGTAGGACTTCCGAGGGGAATAGCTGTGTCAGCAGGTCAGTACGCTTTTTTTTCAGTGTCAGGGTTTATTGGGGAAACGGAAGTACCACCAGGAAGTCTCTTGGGAGCACCTGGGTTCGGGTGATGAGGAGCCCGCTGCCCTGGCCCCTGGGGACCTCTGACTGAGTGCTTGGCGGTTGCTGAGCACGCACGGGCAGCTCTTGCTTCCCATCTCCACCCCAACAGGTGACGTGGAGACTCACGAGGACTCACATGTTATTAACCTTTAAGTGGCTTGTTTGGACATTCCAGAAACCCTCTGGTCACTCTCTCGGGAATAGTGGATCCAGGAGGTGGAAGGCACATGAGAATCCATTCTGTTCAACCCACGTGTCCTCATTACACACGTGAGAGAGACCCAGAGAGGTGAAGGGACTCGCCCAGAGTCACACAGCAAGGTGGTATGAACCGCACACTTTTGAATGCAAGTCTGGTAGTGTGGTGGGCTGAGGTGGTCTGAGGGGATGAGAAGATCACATCCTCCAAGTTCCCACAGACCTGGGGCGAGTTCTGGCCCTGCCCCTCAACGGCAAGAGGCGGGTGCTGAGCACGCACGGGCAGCTCTTGCTTCCCATCTCCACCCCAACAGGTGACGTGGAGACTCACGAGGACTCACATGTTATTAACCTTTAAGTGGCTTGTTTGGACATTCCAGAAACCCTCTGGTCACTCTCTTGGGAACAGTGGATCCGGGAGGTGGAAGGCACACGAGAGTCCATTCTGTTCAACCCATGTGTCCTCATTACACACGTGAGAGAGACCCAGAGAGGTGAAGGGACTCGCCCAGAGTCACACAGCAAGGTGGTGTGAACCGCACACTTTTGAATGCAAGTCTGGTAGTGTGGTGGGCTGAGGTGGTCTGAGGGGATGAGAAGATCACATCCTCCAAGTTCCCACAGACCTGGGGCGAGTTCTGGCCCTGCCCCTCAACGGCAAGGGTAATCAAGACGACCAGCATTTACTGAGCTCTGACTCAGTGCCAGGCACTCTCTAAGAAAGTGAAGTCACTCGGTCCTGTCCGACTTTTTGCGACCCCATGGACTGTAGCCCACCAGGCTCCTCTGTCCATGGGGATTTCCAGGCAAGAATACTGGAGTGGGTTGCCATTTCCTTCTCCAGGGAATCTTCCTGACCCAGGGATCGAACCTGGGTCTCCCGCATTGCGGGCAGACACTTTACCATCTGAGCCAATTTGGGCTACATTTAATCTTCACAACAACTGTGTGAAGTCGGTACTATTACCTCCATTTCGCCAAGAGGGAAACTGAGACACAGAGAGATTCAGCTAACTCGCCCAAGGTCAGATAGTCAGGGGTGGATGCAGACTCACACTGCAGACCCTGTGTTCTTAACCACTACGCTCAAGCTCGTTAACTCATTTAAGGGGAATCTTCCTTGTCTGTAAAATAAGGTAAACAATGGCTCCTTCTAGGGATGTGGACAGATTAGAAACAATGACCAAGGCGTGTCTCAGAGCGAGTGGGCACTTAGCGGCAGTGTTTCTCTTCTTATTTATAATACTATTGCTATTTTATTTATTTATATTTGTTTAAAAGTGTTTTTATTTAGTTGGCTGCCTTGGGTCTTAGTTGTGGCATGCAGGATGTTCATTGCATCGTGTGAGATCTCTCTATGTGGCATGGGGGCTTAGTTGCTCTGCATCATGTGGGATCTTAGTTCCCCGACCAGGGATTGAACCTGTGTGCCCTGCACGGCAAGGCAGATGCTTAACCCTTGGACCACCAGAGAAGTCCTTCGTGCGGCTCTCTTATTGGACCACACTGTGTCCTCCGTCCTTTGCTGCGATTTTGCAAGTCCCCCGGCCTGGTGTTCTCAAACCGCTGTGCTTACTCGCTCAGTCGTGTCCGACTCTTTGCAACCTACTGGAGTGGGTTGCCATGTCCTCCTCCAGGGGATCCTCCCAACCCGGGGTTCTGAAGGTATGCATTCCAGTTAGCAGCAGGAGCTCCTGGGAGCTTGTTAGAAATGTGAATTCTTACGCAGTGAGGGGAGGCAGGGAGCGCTCTGTTTACTGGGCCCTCCAGGTAATTCTGAGACATGCTGACATTTGAGGCCTCTGTTCCGCGGCGTCACCGGTAATATTTTGACAATATTTGACAATATTTCCCATGGTGACTGATTTCGTGCTCACACACAGTCACTCAGTGTCTGACTCTTTGCGACCCCACGGACTGTAGCCCGCCAGGCTCCTCTGTCCATGGGATTCTCCAGGTGAGAACACTGGAGTGGGTTGCCATTTCCTACTCCAGGGGATCTTCCCGAGCCAGAGATCAAGCCTGAGTCTCCTGCACTGTAGGGAGATTCTTTCCCTCTGAGCCATTGGTGATCGGTTAGCATGTCCTCAGCTGGTGCCTCTTAGCTTCAGACTCAGACAGCACCTTTCCCTAGCTCGTAGCATCCTATTTTTCCCTCTTGTGTTGCATTTTTCTCTCTTGTGGGGACTGGCTCACAGAAGGATTTGAGCCAGCATTGGGGTCTCTGTGGACTGTCTTTTCCCCTGTGCCAGGGGCTGGGAAAAGATGCAGAGCCTGGGCAGGCTGAGGATGCAGAGGACCCATGGTCCACCTCCCGCTCAGCTTACAGTACCTATCTCTCTGAGTTTTGGCAAAGTTTTCAGAAAGTGAAACAAAGTGAAGTCGCTCAGTCGTGTCCAAATCTTTGCAACCCCATGGATCATAGCCTACCAAGCTTCTCCATCCATGGGATTTTCCAGGCAAGAGTACTGGAGTGGGATGCTATTTCCTTCTCCAGGGGATCTTCCGGACTCAGGGATCAAACCTAGGTCTCTTGCATTGCAGGCAGCCACTTTACCGTCTGAGACACCAGGGAATCCAAATTGGTGATCGGTTAGCATGTCCTCAGCTGGTGCCTCTTAGCTTCAGACTCAGACAGCACCTTTCCCTAGCTCGTAGCATCCTATTTTTCCCTCTTGTGTTGCATTTTTCTCTCTTGTGGGGACTGGCTCACAGAAGGATTTGAGCCAGCATTGGGGTCTCTGTGGACTGTCTTTTCCCCTGTGCCAGGGGCTGGGAAAAGATGCAGAGCCTGGGCAGGCTGAGGATGCAGAGGACCCATGGTCCACCTCCCGCTCAGCTTACAGTACCTATCTCTCTGAGTTTTGGCAAAGTTTTCAGAAAGTGAAACAAAGTGAAGTCGCTCAGTCGTGTCCAAATCTTTGCAACCCCATGGATCATAGCCTACCAAGCTTCTCCATCCATGGGATTTTCCAGGCAAGAGTACTGGAGTGGGATGCTATTTCCTTCTCCAGGGGATCTTCCGGACTCAGGGATCAAACCTAGGTCTCTTGCATTGCAGGCAGCCGTTTTACCGTCTGAGACACCAGGGAATCCAGCATCTTTGATCTCTAATTTCCCCAGCTGTAAATCAGATATATTAAAGCCAGATGCTCTTTCTAATGTCAAGATTTGATTTTGAAGTGATACATATGAAAGTTCTTGGAAAAGTGTCAAGTTTTTATTGCAAAGTAAAGTATTACTAACTCAATCTTATTTTTTTTTCTCCTTTCTCTTGGTAGATATTTTAAGGTTCAGAAAGGCTTCGTTCTGGGCTCCTCCGCTCCCTCTCTTTGCAATGAACACTTCCTCCTCGTCTGGTGGGGGTGTGGCCCGGTGCGCTACTGGATTGTTCCCCCTGGACACGTTTGCGGCCCTGAGTCTGTGAGTACAGACCGCCCAGGCCCCGGGCTGCCAAGTGTGTGCTGGGCTGTTTCATCTCTGCTGCTCACCAGCTGCACTCGGCCACTTCATTTTCATTCATTGAATGACGTCTGTCCGCTGCTCTCTGCTACCTTAACAGGAAAATCCGAATGTGTTCCAGAGGAGGCCAGCCACACCCAAGTGTGACGGGCTTTGGGGATCACTGAGAAGCGTGTCCGGTCCCCAGTTATTCCTGTTTCCATCATGTGGCCCTGAAGATGAATTTCCTATATATGTGTGTATATATATATAGTTGGCTGTGCTGTGTCTTTGTTGCTGCGAGGGCTTTTCTCTAGTTTCAGCAAGCGGGGCTGCTCTCTGGTTGCAGAGCTCGGGCTTCTTGTGGCCGTGACTCATCTTGGTGCAGAACACACGCTCTGGGGCGCTCGAGCCGGTAGTTGCGGCTCCCGGACTTTAGAGCACAGGCTCGGTAGCTGAGGTGCACGGGTCTAGTTGCTCCCCAGCAGGTGGGACCCTCCCAGGTTAGGGATCGAAGTCGTGTCTCCTGCATTGGTGGGCAGATTCATTAACACTGAGCCACCAGAGATGCCCCTGAATTTCTTTTCTTCGAGGCATTGCTTCTCATCCAGATACCTCCGCAAACTTGCCTGTGAAGTCTTAGTTGCACCTGACATGGTTCCTTAGGACAGACTAGGAGCAGTGGACTTGTTGGCCCAGAGCTAAATCTGATCTTCTGATAAAGAGCTTTCCTGCAAACCTCATTCTACTGCTCCAGTAAGAGACACCCATGTCTGTATCATCACCCAGCCACCCACGCTCCCTTTATAAAAACTGGTGCCAATTTGATAGATACATAAATGGACCTAATTTACACTAAAAAGTTGGTAATAAGGGCTTTTCTTTCTCAGTTTCTCTGCTATTCATTCTCTTCATCCCCCTTTCTATGTCTGTGTGAGCTGAATTCTTATTGATTTTTAAAGTTCACTCTATGGATGAAGGATAGTCATATCAGCTGCAAATATATCTTGGTTGCTTTTTGTTTGTTATGGTGTTTTTTATTTTATTTTTTCACAATTATCATAAGGAGTTTAGTGAAATCCATTCATCTTTGAGTCTGTAATGTCTTTTGTTATTTTTTCTTAGGAAGCCACTCCTAATCCTTAAAGTGTTACCACTTGCCTACGTTTAGGAGCGGTTGGAGGGGGTTTTCTCCCCTGTGCTCTTTTCTCTGCATCTCAGCGCGGTGCCAGCGTGCTCCAGGCGTGCTCACACCTGTGTCATCTCCCTGCAGGGTCCTCACCTTCCTGGGCCTCACCCTCCCTCTGGCGGGAACCGTCTACGTGGCCGCCACCGGGCGGGGGTCGGACCGCCAGGCGTCACCGGTACCCGAGGAGCCTCTGGCCACTTACGGGAGCCTGCCTCTGAGAGCACCGGTGGGGAGCGGGCCAGGAAGCAGAGTCCAGCCGATGGGCTGTCTGCCCGTCTCACCGTCAGGAACCCCAAGCGGAGGAAAAAGTAGGCATTTTAACAAATTCATGAGAGCTGACTTAGATCACCAGAGTGATCACATTTCATCAGAATGAAATGTCACATTCCTGAATGTTTGGAAATAATTGAGATGGAGAGGTTCAACATTTTTTTTTTTCCCCTCCACTTTTACACTCTCTAGGAAGTGAAGTCAGCATAACACTGTCTTTGATCTTCCTTGCAGCAGTGGAATCTCTTAGGTGTGGGACGCAGACTCTTGGGTTGGCATGTGGGATTTAGTTCCCTGACCAGGGATTGAACACAGGCCCCCCGCATCGGGAGTGCTGAGCCCTAGCTACTGGACTGCCCGGGAGGCCCCTGTTCTTCACTATTTAGATGAGAAGGATATGCATGGATATTTGAGGACATCTTCCTGAAGTTAATGGCTATGGACTCAGTCCGGGGGCTCTTCCCCTATGATCTGTTACTAAAAGTAGAAAGAAAGAGTTAGTCGCTCAGTCGTGTCTGACTCTTTGGGACCCCACGGGCTGTAGCCCGCTAGGCTTCTCTGTCCATGGAATTCTCCAGGCAAGAATAGCCATTTCCTTCTTCAGGAGATTTTCCCGACCCAAGAATCGAACCTAGGTCTCCTGCATTGTAGGTGGATTTTCTTTACTGTCTGAGCTGCCAGGGAAGTCCTGGTAGTTGGCTTGTAGTAGTACTGGGCTCACAGTTACTGAGAGTGGGCTCATAGTGATAATCACTGGGAAAATCCAGAAATTCAAAGCACTGTCACACCTGCGGTCCTTCAACTTTGGTAAGCAGCAGAATCACCCAGAGGGCTTGTCACAGCCAATTTCCCGGGCCCAGCCATCTAGGATTCTGATTCAGTCGGTCTAGGGTGGAGCTGGACTGTGCCTTTCTGACTGGTTCCCAGGTGATGCTGAAGCTACTGGTCCAGGGACTCCCACTGAGGTAACTGAATGCATTATTTAACCTGATCCTCCCTCTGCTCCTGTGGTTTAAGATACTTTTCATTTACAAACAAGCGAAATGGGGCTCAGAGAGGCTGCCTTCTCTCTGGACCAGTTATTTTCAGACAGTTTGGTAGCTACTGACTAAGTTCACTCGCAAGTGGAATTTAGATGAGAAAAAAAAAATGATAGCAAAATGTATTCTATACTTGCTTGCCAAGTTAGGCCTGGGGCCAGATATTTGACAAATATTGCTCTTGAAACCTCACAACGGCCCTGCCAAAAAGGGCGCTCGATTTGAAAGTAGAAGAAAGGGCTTCCCTGATGGCTCAGTGGTAAAGAACCTGCTTGCCAATGTGAGAGACACGGGTTCGATCCCTGGTTCAGGAAGATCCCACATGCCGACAAGAGCTGGGTCTGTGTGCCACAATTACTGACCCTGTGCTCTGGAGCACAGAGGCCACAGCTCCTCCGAAACTGCTGAAGCCGGGAGCCCCAGAGCCTCGGCAACAAGGGAAGCTCCAGGACTGAGAAGCCGGGGGCAGCGCAGCGGAGAGCGGCCCCCACTCACTGCAGCTAGAGAAACGCCCGCCATGCAACGCAGACCCAGCACAGCCAGAAAACTGTAAAAGCGCTGATTAAAAAAGAAAAAAGTGAGGAAGCCCGTTCAGAGAGGTAAAAGAGCTGGCAGGGCTGGACAAAGCCCAGCTCTCGTGACGCTCCTTTAGAGCGCGTGGCCGCTCGGGGAACCCAGAGGAGCCAGGACATGAGGTGTAGGCCTGCGCCCGCTCCTGCGGAGCGAACACCCCTCTAAGCGGAAAGGTGAGCCTCCCGCCTCCAGGCAGGCACCTCTGAGAACGACCCCAGCGGAGAAACTCCTCCTCACCCCGGGAACCTCAAAATGCTAATTACGCGCTTCCATTTCAAAAGTTGATTTGAATTTCCAGAGCTTGTCATCTCTATTGTGAATGAGTTTCCGTTCTGCGAGGAATTCTTGTGCCCACGTTTGAGGCACCCAGCGACATCCTGGAGAAAACAAGGAACCTGTCAGAGCCAGCTTGAGTTTCCGAGGCTCCCGTTTCCCAATTCCAGACACTTAATGGACTCTCAGGATGAGCCAAATTAAATTTGTTTTAAATGAAAGGGAATAAATTAAGTAGAAAACATTCACCATTCTTAAAGTAATGGAGTTTCAACTGGTGAGCAGTAGCAGGTTGTGACACTGTCTCTTTTGTTTTCCGTGATCAGCCCATGATTCTAAGACTGACTTTGATTCCCATCCTGTAGGTGTGGAAATTTGGGCACAGAGAAGTTAATTCACTTGCCAGAGGTCCCAGAGCTAATACATGGCAGAGTCAGAGCCAGGAGTGTCCGACTGACTGTAAGGCTGGCACCCTTCACTGCTGCTGCCCCCGCCGCTCTGCGTTCTTAGGGATGTTGTTGTAAGCGATTCATTCTTGGGCGAGCCCCAGGGATGCCATTTCAAGCCCCATGCTGGCTTTAGGGAGTGTGTGACTTCTCAACAACGTCTAAGTTTCCTTTCGCCTGACCCTTCGTGAAACACGATGGAGGTGGACAGGCATTGGCATTCCTGGGGCCTGAGACGGGAAGCCTATTTTGTTATGAGACGGCATGGGCACCAACCTCAGATCCAGACTGTTAGGGAAAGTCGAGGTTCCTAGAGGAGGAAGACCAGGTCCAGAGATCCACAGATAGATCAAGAGGGGACAAGGAGAACTTGGCTGAGCTTTTCACGGTCAAAGGGAGGCAGTGTCCGGGGGGCAGCCAGGATCACTGGCTTGCAGGTTTTGCCTTTTGTTTGGGGGGCAGCGTGTGGTCTGGTCTGGCTTTCAGGGTGCACAGTAATGCCTTTGCTCCTGCCTAGGTTATCTAGCTGCTGTGGACCGAGTTCTGAAGTGCTTTTCCTGGCAGAAGAATGTGCCGGCCCTCTGGACCACAAAGACGCCGGGAAGCACGTGCTCTGCCTTGAATGGCCTTCGAGTGTTGAGCCTCCTCTGGATCGTGTCTGGGCACACGAGTCAGATGACTGCGTGGATGTCTCTGGGTGTGGAAAACCGAGGGATCTCTGGGGTAGTCAAGGAAGGGAGGGGCTTTCATGTGGGGGGCCACGTCGGGCCCTAGGAGGGAGCCTGCAGCCTTTTCGAGTGGCCTTCCTTCTCTTCTCGAGACATGGCCGTGGCCTCCGTAAACAAGTGTCCGGGCCAGTGTTGAAGGGCTGCCTTATCTCCCCTTGGGTGTAAACCAGGCACCTCATTCCCTGGTGAATGGGGAAAGCTGAGTATTTTATTTCTAACTTCCGAACAGCTGGGTTCCCTCTTGTCATGATTAATGAATCCAGAAACTTCTTTTTTTCCCTCTTCTGGAAAAATAGGCAAATATAGATAAGTATTGTGCACTAGTATAAAATCAGTGCTTGTGGATCTTCTTTCTGTTGGTACACTCCAGAAGAGCTCCTGTCGACCGAGTGGAACTCTCCAAGTGGGACCTAAACACACATGTCAGAATTGAGGGGAGGGGCCAGCCCAGGGCAACTTGAGGACCCCCCAGGGGATCTGAACAGGCAATGCTGCTGCAGCTCCAAGGGGGCTGCGGGCCCTGCAGAGGGGCCAGGAGAGAACCCAGGCTGCAGGCAGCTACCGAGCCGCCCTCTCCTATTCCCGTTCCACGTTCTCCTCTTAAGTGAATTACAAGGATCCACAAAACCCTCTCAATACAGCTGAAAGTTAAAGGTGTGTTTTTGAAGAGATAAATCACAAGATTTTCTTCCGTCCAATCAAAAGACACTGTGTCTTACGTTTTTACAGATAATGTGCTTGAATGGAAAGCCAGGGTGCTTAGAAACCCACTGTACCTTTATTCTCGGAGTGGCCCCTTCTATCTCGGAGTGGACACGTTTTTCCTGATCAGGTAACATGGTGCTCTCCCTGCTGGAGTTGTGCTCGTGGCTGTTGGTTGGGGAGGCGTGGATGTGGCTATTCCCCGTTTAGAGAGAAAAACAGACAGGCTCACGCAGACTCCGCTTGGCCGCAGACTCCGCTTGGCCACGGCCTCCGTGCATCCCTGGAGAGTACTGAGGTCGCCAGTTCCTCTCTTTTATGTCTTCAGTTTATTAAATGATTCCGGATGGCTCGCTAAAACAGGCCTTTTACAAAAGGTGATTTTATTGCTCAAACTTGTTTATTTCAGCGCTTCTCAAATTCTGGCTCCTGGTATGGTGCCAATCCACGATCAAGTTGCCAGTTCTCACCACAGTGAAATGTGGGAAAAAAATAAGAGAATGGTGTGAGTTTACATAAAGTGGTGTTTATTTAAATTAACTAATAAGAGGTAAATTTTCTTAAATGTTTGATAAATGTCGGGCACTGCATGAAGTCCTTGGCAGCACTATATCATGCAATCCTCATGGTGTTCCTATACAGTAGGGACAACTGTTAAAATCCTCAGTTTTCTGGTTCTGTTCTTTGGGGGTTGGGGTGAAATTCGCATCACGTAAAATTAACCACTCGGAGTGAGTGATTCAATGGCCCTTACTGCATTCACTTTCTTGCACAACCACCTCTTCTATCTGGTTCCAAAGCATTTTCATCACCCTCAGGGAAACCTCACACCCATGAAGCTGTTTTCCCCAGTCCCCGCTACCTCCAGTTCTTAGAAACCTGCTTTCTCTCGTGTGGATTTACCTGCTCTAGACATTTCATACACACGGCTCACACAGCGTGCCTTTGTGCCTGGCTTATTTCAGCTAGCATGACATTTATGAAGCCCATCGATGTTGAAGCACATATCAGTACATCGTTTCTTTCTATGGCTGAATATTATTCCTTGCATGGCAGACTACCGAAATCTCCACTTTAAAGATAACGGAGCTGAGTGTGAAGGGCCTGGTCCTGGTGGGCCCGTCGTCTAAACCCAGGCAGTCTGGTCCCAGAGTCCGAGCTCCAGCCTCTGTGCTGGCCTGTCTCTGCCTCTCTGGAGTTACGTATCCCTGCCTTCGGAGGGAGATGGTGATGGTAGATGGCATCATTAAGTGCTAAGCATTCATCCATCTGGGGGATTCCTGATGGCTCTGCAGGTAGAGAACCCACCTGCCAATGCAAGAGACGCAGGAGACGTGGATCCGACCCCTGGGTCGGGAAGATCCCCTGGAGGAGGAAATGGCAACCCACTCCAGTATTCTTGTCTGGGAAATCCCACGGACAGAGGAGCCTGGTGGGCTACAGTCCAGGGGGTCGCAGAGAGTCGCACAGGACTTAGTGGCTGAGCATGCACGCCCGTTCATCCATCCAACCATGCTCTGTCCAATACAGAGTAGCCCAGACAGGCGAGGGACAGCGTCCACCATCTGCAGTGAACAAGACCACGGTATCGGGGCTACTGGGCACCAGACATTCCGAGAGAGCTGAGTCTAGCCAGGCAGTCGAAATCCAAGTGCAGGGTGGGAGCCTCCGGAGGGCAGGGAGGTCCGCCCAGGGGACAGCAGTTCAAAGACCAGAGCTCTGTTTCCTGCAAGGAAATCAGTGAGAACACGGCAACAGAAGTTGCCATATGCTGGCGGGGGCTGGTCGGCAGGGCTCCAAGCCCGGGAGGGGATCTGGCAAGGACAGACCAGGATGGCTGGAACCAAAGCAGACTCAAGCTGGAGACCTGCCACCAGGAGGGAAGCATGAAGGGCACAGAAGGCCGCTGCTCACCCCGGGCCGTCGGTGGGAATCAGAGACAGCGAAGAGCCTCTGGGTCAGCCCTGAGAGGTCCACAACACAGGCCAACGCTCCTGAGACTCCAGGTGGCNGCCTCTGGGTCAGCCCCGAGAGGTCCACAACACAGGCCGACGCTCCTGAGACTCCAGGTGGCCCCAAAACTTGCCTGGTGGCTCAGACGATAAAGAATCTGCCTGCAGTGCAGGAGACCCAGCTTTGATCTCTGGGCGGGGAATATTCCCCTGGAGAAGGGAATGGCTTACACACTCCAGTATTCTTGCCTGGAGAATCCCATGGACAGAGGAGGCTGGCGGGCTACAGCCCATGGGGTCGCAAAGAGTCAGAGGGGACTGAGCGACTATCACTTTCACGTATCATGAAGACAGCATACCTGACTCTGGGCTTGGTCTGGGACCCAGGGAGCGCTGTGCCTTCCCCAGTCCGTCTCAGAATATAGTCTTAGCATTGCCTGGAAGCTTGGGAGAAATGCAGATTCTCAGGCCCCGCCCAGGTGCTCTGAGCGTAACAAGCCCTCCAGGCGATGCTGCCATCGGCTCCTGTCTGAGAAGCCCTGTAGCAGCCCCAGCATGCAGGGTGAGGACGGCAGAGGGAGACCCAGTAGGTCCTGCCACGATGCAGGAGACCAAGACCCATGTGTCCTTTCTCTTCACTCCTATTTTCTTGTTTCTCCCGGCCCGTCTCACTGGCTGTTGTCGTTTTCTCTTCCCTTTCCAATTTTCATTTTATCACTTTAGGAAGTGCACGTGGTCTGTTTACTTTCTTTCCAACATCAGAAACTTTACTAATAGTGAAACACGTCACTGCCGCTGTGCTCAGAAACACTTTGATCCCATACAGTTCTCATGATCAGCCTCTATCAGGCCCATTTTCATAGCCGAGAAGGTTGATGTTGGAGATGAAATAACCTCAGCCCCCCAACCCCTCCTCAGCTAGAGTATATTTCAGTACAATCAGAACTGAAATATAATGTCTGTTTTATGCCAAAACCACATGTTAACACCTGTGTCACTAACATATTTAACACGTGTGAGTGTGTGCTCAGTCACTCATTTGTCTCCGACTCTTGAGACCCCATGGGCTGGCCCGCCAGGCTCCCCTGTCCATGGGATTCTCCAGGCAAGAGCACTGGGGCGGGTTGCCGTTGCCTTCTCCAGGGGCTCTTCCTGACCCAGGGATCGAACCTGCCTGCAGCCCCCACATCGGCAGGCCGATTCTTGCCCACGGAGCCACCTGGAAAGCAATATATTACATAGTAAGACCAAAGACTTCTGTCACTGCTGATGGTTTTGGAATCCTTCTTCTAGCTCTCAGGCTGGGCTGATTTCATATATCTCTCCTGCAGGATTTTATTCTTTCCCAGTCTGTTTAGGTTTCCTGGGTCTTCTTAGCCTCTTGGAACCTCTTGTCTTGCCCGGAGCCTGTTTTCCTGCCAGCCTTTCTCTTTTCCTGTCTTTGTGAACTTGAGACGGCTCTGGCCCACACACAGAGGGAGACCCTGATTCATTCTTTCTGGAAACTGCGAGGCAGCCGGAATCCGACTGGCCACGCTACTTCCTCAACTTAGTGCTCTCTTTCAGTTGTCTCTACAAATTTTGTTCCTATTATGGTGAATCCAACTTGCTGCATTTCAAAAGAAACTCTTGCTGGCAGAGAGCAAAGACAGTCTCCAACCTTCACTGATCCCTTCTAAGTCCCTCCCACCCCCCACCCCCCCACACACATCCCACACATATACACACAGCCTTCTTTTGCAATAGGAAACACACTTGTTCTTTAGCAAAACACCCACAAGGGTCATGGGTTATTGTTGCTACTAAGTTGTAGGTTGTTATATGTTGTTACATTTCCCGGTCCACAAGGTAGACCAGCTGCTCCTTGATCAATTCAGAAGCAGGCTTTGTGACCATGGTCTTGCGGTGCTCAACTGAAATGCCAAACATTACTTATGCTTGGAAAGAACCTAAAGAGCCGCTGGGTGAGGATATTGATTCCAAAGTGAAGGGAATGGTCTTTCTCGAAGGAAAGCCTGGTATTTGCTTTGACATCCCTACTGCATCAGTAACAGAATACAGAAGCATGGCATGATTCACAGTGCTGGCAGCTCTCTGTGGCCACGGAGCAACCAGAGTGAGAAGGTCCACGGGAAGGAAATTGCAACTTCCGAGGACAGCGGGAAGGCAGTCGAGGCTTCAGGGGATGGCACGAGGGCCACCGAGCTGTCATGGGACAGCGGGAAAGAAGTAGGAGCTTCAGAGGACAGCGATCAGGAGGCGGCAGCAAAAGTAACAGATTCCAAAACAAAGGCCAGAAGTGGAGTTTTAATAAGGCTCTTGGAGAGTAATTTGAAGTAGAGGATTTATTTGGCAAAAACAGAGCTATGTTCAGCAACGGGGAACTGAACATTATTTTTCATGCAATGTTAAGAGCACATTGTATTTCCTTCCTGACCACTTGCCCAGTCCCCATCTCTTGGAGAGAGAAAAGCTTCATCTAAATTACTTCATCTGGTTGATGACTGTCATTTATAATTTTATTGCTACTTCTGTCTTGGGTATTCCTTTGGAAAAGGTGTTTGGATTCATTACATATTCTAATGTATTGTCTATAGATTATAAGATAAAGTCAAGCATGTATCTGCTGATACTTTTTAAGTTGACCTGTCTTTATACTTAGAAATGTCTCTTAATGGCAGGCTTCCCCACTGGCTCAGATGGTAAAGACTCTCCTGCAATGCAGGATCCCTGGGTCGGGAAGATCCCCTGGAGAAGGAAATGGCAACCCACTCCAGTAATCTTTCCTGGAGAACTCCGTGGACAGAGGAGACTGGTGGGCTACAGTCCATGGGGTTGCAAAGAGTCAGGCATGACTGAGCAACTATCACTCACATGTTGTTACTAAGTCATGTCCGACTCTTTTCCACCCCATGGACTGCAGCACACCAGGCCTCCCTGTCCTTCACCATCTCCCAGAGCTTGCTCAAGTTCATGTCCATTGAGTCAGTGATGCCGTCCAACCATCTCATCCTCTGTCGTCCCCTTCTCCTTCTGCCTTCAATCTTTCCCAGCATCAGGGTCTTTTCCAGTGAGTTGGCTCTTCACCAAAGTATTGCAGCTTCAGCTTCAGCATCAATCCTTCCAAAGAATATTCAGGGTTGATTTTCTTGGTGTTGGAGAAGACTCCTCAGAGTTCCTTGGACTGCATGGAGATCAAACCAGTCAATCCTGAAGGAAACCTAGAGGGTCATCACTGTAAATGTTAAAAGGTAGAAATTCCCTGGTGGTTCAGTGGTTAGGACTCTGCACCTTCACTGCTGAGAGCCTGGGTTCAATCCCTGGCCCTGGGAATTCAGGTTCTGTGCACATCCAAAACAAAAAGAAAGAAAAGAAACAGAATAAACGTCAAAAGCAAGGGAAACTCAAAAGGTACAAACTTCAAGTTATAAAACAAGTATGTACAAGGAATGGGATGTACCACATGATAAATATAATGCTGATGTTTGTTAGATAAGAAAGTGGTTAAGAGAGTAAATCCTAAGAGTTCTCGTCATAGGCTGCTCTGTTTGCCTGGCTCCCGTAGTGAGGAAGATGCTGAGCTCAAGGTGACTGGCTGTGGACACGTACCACGAGCAAGGAGAAAGCTATTACTGTTTTTAGTCTTAAGGATGTTTTGTTACTGCAGCGTCACTTCGTGTGTCCTGATAGAAACAACCGAGCTAATCAACCCACGGACCGCATCACTGATCGGTCATCCCTGTGATCTGTTCTCTTCCTCTCAGTGGCTGGCTAAGTGCAAGATCATTTTTAAAGATGTGCCAGGATTCAGACAAAGGAATAACCCCTAGCGTCATACTCAGATACTTTTTCAGTCGCCTTATAAGGTAGGTTATTCATATAATCTTTCCATTCTTTATTGCTGTGCAATCACTTATTATATTTAGTCTTTTAACCCTCCTTTGAAAGAATTTTCAAAGAAAAGTAAACAGAGAAAAATAGTTTTGTTTCATTTAAACCGTGTTTAAATGTAGCTGCTCTTTCTGGTTTAATGGCTTTTGCAGTGGAAGATACCAGTACTCATGGTATTTTTCCTAATAAACCTTGAACTGTATTAAACCAACAAAAACCTCCTTATTTCTAAAGCTAATGGACAGCAGGCTTCAATGAACATGCCATCAGATTCCCATGAAATTTATGCTCAACAGAATTTGTGTAGCTCCTGTAAATTAGTAGTACTTGGCTCCTGTGTTAAGGACAAATGATAATAATAAAAATAGAATAAGACACAATCTGGAGAGGGGTTGGTGGAAGCTTGGGATGATGGTCGTTCTGATAAGAAGGCAGAAAGGGTGGTAGTATTCTTTACAAATGCCTGGTTGGTTGGATCGGAATAGAATACAATATTGGGACAGAATATAGAACCAGTGGGATAGCTAGTGGCAGTGATGCAATGAGACGGTAGAAGTGTAGGGAGAAAAAGAAACGTCTACCTGTGTAACCCACCATTTAAAAATTTATACACGTTTAAAATCATGGATTGTGGCTAAGCTGGAGCCCAGTTCTTGTTACTTAGGGTCCATGGCTCTCTTGCTACACTGCACCATCACAAAACAGCAAGGGGAGTGTTGGAACAATCTTCTGGGCCCGTCAAATGGACTGTGTAAAGTCTGCCTCCAGTCTGCCTGGGCGTGCATTCTGGTTCAGTCATTTCCCAGCTGTGTGACCTTGAGTAAGTGTCTCAATCTTCCTATGCTTGAGGTTCCTCATCTTAAAAATGAGCAGAGTGATGGCTCTCACTTCACTGGACTCTTGAGAGAACCAAAACAGATAACGTGTGCAAAGAATTTACAAAAATGTGACAGGTCGTATGCCCTCAGTAAATATAAGCTATCATTGTTACTGTTGTTATTTTTACTTAACTTCTCTGGTTAATAGTTTAAGAATGAGTCTAAGCTGAGAAATAGAACTTTATTGCCTTCGTGGTTTCTTCCAAGCCCCATTAAATCTAGTCCTTGTCCTGAATGCTTGACAGAATACTTTTTCTCGTGTTATTTTTTGGGGACGAGCAGTGTGTTGAGTAGCCAGTCTTGCCCTGTGTCCTTCTGGAGGAGAAGGGCTGGCCTTCAGGCCCAGCGTTCTCAGTGATAAATGCTCAGGCGGGTTGTTAGGGGCTGGGGTGTGGGATCCAGTGGCCTGGTGGGTGCTGCCTGGGAATCCTTCAGAAGAACAACCCCAGAGCTGGGGGAGAAGAGTCAGACATGTTTTCCTGGGCAGATAAAGTGGTCATTGGGGCCGAGAGCCCAGAGTGGAGGAGGGTGCGGGGCTGAGACCTCACGGGGCAAGATGCTGGTGAGGGTCCCGGGGGTGATGTGTTGCGGGATGTGCGCTGGCCATGGGCAGTGGGGATATGGAGAGGGTGCCACCCACGGATACTCAGACTTTCCAGCTCAAGTGATGTGGAGGATAGGGAGGACGTTCTTGAGATGGGGCGCTCTGGGAGAGTGCCAGCTGGGCGCCAGGAAGAGAGCGAATGAGTCCAAGCTGGGACAGAATGTCGTTGGGGTATGGGGGAAGCCTTACCAATCTGCAGACTGGACTCACCCTCTTTAAGGTCAACTCAGTGAGGAGGCAGCCATCCATGTTCCTAGCTATTTTGATGTTCTCATTCATCAAGACTTGTTGTTCTTTCTCAAATATGATTTATTCCCTGCCCTTTTAACTTCAAGAAGAGTAGATGCAAGATCGTTTGCTCACTTGCTCTTTCTGTATTTTACTGAGGGCCCACTATGTACTGGGCACTGTCCCAGGCTGAGGATTCAGCAGTTGATAAACCATGCAGGGAACCCTGGTAACCCAGCTGGTAGAGAATCCACCTGCAATGCAGGAGACCTGGGTTTGATCCCTGGGTTGGGAAGATCCCCAGAGAAGGGAAAGGCTACCCACTCCAGTATTCTGGCCTGGAGAATTCCATGGACTGTACAGTCCATGGGGTTGCAAAGAGTCGGACATGACTGAGCGACTAAGCACGCAGAAGCACACAAACCACGCAGATGCCTTCTGGCAAGCGGGTTACGTTCTAGTGATTAGAGATGGACCGTAAACAAATAAATATGCAGCCCTAAGTTGCGATATGCAAATCCTCTTATTCCAGGTCAGTGATGATAAGGCTACAAGTAATAATTTAGAGAAGGAAGCAAGACAGCGTCTTCCTCTGGAAGGGTGGTCAGGGAAGATGCCTTTGTCGAAAATCCTGAAGGAAGGAAAGGAATGTTCTAAGCAAAGAAAATGGGAAGAAGGGTCCATACTGCAGAACCGACAGCAAAGGTCCTGAGGAGAGAGCCGCGGTTGATGCATCTGCAGAATCTCAAAGAGCCCACAGGTGCCGGAGCAGAGTGAGCTGGAGGAGAGAGCTGGAGGGAGGCGGGCAGAGAGGTGAGAGTGGGGCAGGGCCCCCCAAGCCTCGAGAGCCGGGGGCAGCCTTAAGGACTGCCCGTTGTCCTCCCAGAGGAGAAGCCGTAGGGGAGTGGCATGGCCAGGTTTACATTTTGCAAAAATCACTCTGGCTGCAGGGCAGAGAGCAGACTGGGGTGAAGGCAGGAGAGGCAGACCAAGCGGGGGCTTCTGCAAGTTCCAGAAAATGTGAAAGCCCAGCTTCCAGGGGGAAAACCGTACAGACACCTCACAGGAGATGAGGAGGGTAGAGGCTCTAGACCCCTGAAACTGTGGGATTATTCCAAGTAGGAGCCACAGCTTAAAATTTAGTTTCCTAGTAGGACTTGCCTGGTGGTCCAGTGGTTAAGAATGCACCTTCGAAATGCAGGGGGCCCGGGTTCGACCCTTGATCGAGGATCCAAGACCCCACAAGCCTTGGGGTTACTGGGTCCACTCTCTCTAGAGCCTGCGTGGCACAATGAAGATTCAACTCAGCCAAATAAATAAATACGTATTAAAAAAAAGAAATGATACTTTTTCTAAAAATTAGTTTGTGTATGTGTGCACTCTGTCATGTCCAGGTCTTTGAGACCCCATGAACTGTAGCCCACCAAGCTCCTCTTTCCATTGACTTTTCCAGGCAAGAATACTGGAGTGGGTTGCCATCTCCTCCTCCAGGGGATCTTCCCGACCCAGGGTTGCACCCAAGTCTCCTGCATCTCCTGCATTGGCAAGCGAACTCTTTACCTCTGCACCACCTGGGAAGCCCCCACCCATTAGTTTAAGTTAAAAAAATTGTTGATAATAATGTCTAACTATGGCTAAGGTTCTATACTAAAAACAAAGGCGCCCCTTCCAGTCGCACCTCCCACAGGGCAGCTTTGGTAATAGCTTCTTATGAATTAATTCTTGCAGGGACTTTCCAAGTATTTATATATTCTTTACCCCACCCATGAAGAGAACTATACTTAACGCTGCATTATTTTGCACATAGCTTTTTTAACTTAATGATTTGGCATCGTTCTCTAACTGCATGGAAGGACTCACCTCACTGATTTTAAGGTTGCCGGGATGGCGCCGTGTGGGTGGACCATCCATCATGTATTTAACTGCTCTCCATGTATGGGCATGAAGGTGGTTTCCAAGTTTTTCGCAGTCTTATTAGACAGTGACACGAAGTCTGTACATTTTTGTGCAACTGTCTGGGCACGTTTGCAGGGTAAATTCCTACGAGTGGAAACGATGGTTTGGTGCATTGAATGTATCGATGGACACTGTCCAAATGACCTTACCACCCGGCCAGGTATGAGAAGGCTGCTTCTCACACCCCCATGGCACTAGCTAGTACCACAGGTTTTAATTCTTGCAAGCCTACTTTGACTTTAAATCTCCAAGCTTGGACAAACACTTGAAGGGCATGCATATTTATAAGACACGTCCCACGTTTCAACAGTTGGTTTTTAACTTTCTATTTTGCATTGGGGTGTGGCTGATTAACGATGTTGTGACAGTTTCCGGTGGACAGCAAAGGGACTCAGCCACGCGTATCCACGTGTCCTTTCTTCCCGGACTCCCTCCCAGCTAGGCTGCCACGTGACAGGGAGTGGAGCTCCTCCTGGTCTGCAGTGGGTCCTTGTGGCTTGTCCGTTTTAAGATATATATAGATAAATATTTTTTGATATTTATTTATTTGGCTGCATCCAGTCTTAATCCCACAGTGAGGTCCACGGGCTTAGATGTTCTGAGGCACGTGGAATCTTCCCGGACCAGGGATCAAGCCCACATCCCCTGTACCGGAAGGCAGATTCCTTACCTCTGGGCCACCAGGGCAGTCCCGGTTATCCCTTTTAAATATAGAAAAATAAATAAACAAATGAATAAATATAGCCTTGTGTACCTGTCCTTCCCAAACTCCCGACTCTCCCTTCCCCCAGCAACCATAACTCCATCCTCCAAGACTTCAGTTTTCTTAGTGATCTGATTCTCAGAAAATCCTAGGAGGCGGGAGTCCTCCTCCTCCTTAGAGGAAGCTAAGGAACCATCAGTACACTTTACCGCAGGAGAGGGAAGGGAGGAGTGATGCGATTTTCTCAGTGTGAAAACTTTAGACAAATCTAGAAACCGCTTCTCGTGTTCTTTCCCCTGTAACTCCCCGGGCATGGCCCCTCCAGCAGCCTCTGCTCCCCCCGCTGCCCGGGCCGCAAGCCTCTACGCGGGTCCCTCCGGAGGACGTCTGACCCGGACTCCAGTTCAGAGGGGAGCAGGGGCCGACTGGTTCTCCCGGGGAGATGGAGGCAACAGATGGTGGGGGGGAGGCTGGGGGGCGAGCCCAGGCTCCAGGGAGCATCCGCACAGCAGCGCACTCAGACGGCTGACTGGCAGGACCCAGGACCCAGTGCGGGCTCTGCGGCTGCAGCCGAGCTGGTCCAGGAAGTTGCATCCCGGCAGAGTCAGCGCCCTTGCCCTCAGACTCTGATCAGCAGCCGCAGCCCTGCTCCCAGGTACCCACCACCCTCCTGCCCTCCTGGTGCTCTCTAGGAAGGAGGTCACCTCTGTGGGGTGCTGACCCGAGGCGGGGTGTGGACCCACACCTCTGCTGGGGCTGCTCCTCTAGCTGCCCTGCTGCCCCATCTGTCACCCCCCACCCCAGGCCCTGAAGCCCCCCTCCGAGATGGTTAGAGATGCTTCTGGGCCATGGGCTCTCTGCCCTTGTACTGCCCTGGGTTTTCAAATATATTCTTTAAAAAAAGAGGGCTCTGCTGGGGGCCACCCAGAAGCCACACCCCCATTGCATGCGCCTTCTGAGTTGTCCATAGGCTCCCCCCACCCAGAGAAGGGTAGACCAGTGAGACAGGCTGCAAATATCCAATATACACAGACTTCTAAAGACTCGGTGAAAGAAAAGAGTGCAAAATAGTTCAATAGTTTTTCATATTGGCTATCTGTTGAAATGACAATATTTTGAATGTATTGACCAAATGAAGTGTATTATTAAAACTAATTATACTGTTGACTTTTTAAAATGCGGCCGCTGGAATGTGCTATCTGAACAGCCCATGTGGCTGGAATTATTACATTCTATTGAACAGCCCCAGTCTAGACACCTATTGCCTCCTTCATCAGCTACCACAGATCTTGCTTGGAAGGAGGTGGTGTATGAGGGAAGGAAGGAGGAAATGAAGTGAGGCAGGAAAGGAGGATAAGAGGGAGTATGGAAAGCTGTTTTCATCTAGGGAGGCCCTGTGGAAAGAACATCCAGCAGCGTCAGATCTCAGTACTGACATGTGGTTGGACCGTCTTGGGTAAGTGACTCAAACTTCTCTGAGCGCTCATTGCTCATCAGCAAAATTGACACCGTAGTTACTGGGCAGGTTTAGAAAGTTCCTAGCAGAGTGGCTTACACATACGACTTGCTCGATGCAGAACAGTGTTTTTGCATCAGTAGCACCTACACCGCTGTGAACCCACGAATGAAAGGAAGGCGTGAGGGGTGAGTGAGGAGGTGGTCGCTCCCCCAGCACAGCCTATCTTTGAGCATCTTATCCGCATTGGCTATGTGACCCCCCAGCCCAGGGGACCGAGTGGGGCCCCCGCGGAGACTCACTCTCTCCCGGCTCTCTCCCGCCAGGCTGCAGCCTCTTCACCTGTTCTCGCTCTCCTTGCTGGTTGCACTGTTCTCCCTTGTGCCCTGGGGGCCCGTCTGGGAGGTGCCCGAGCTCCACCTGGAGAAATGCCGGCGGGCCTGGTGGACGAACTTGCTGCTGCTAAATAACTTGCTGTCGGTCCAGGATGCGGTGCGTTCAGGGCGTCCGCGAAGGGGCGGAGGGGCGCGATGCGGCGCGCGTTCCCGGGTCAGCCCGAGTCTGATCCCCTTTCTTCTGGCATCTTCTCGGGAGTGATCGTGATGCTGTAGGAAAGTGGGCTGTGGGAGGGAGGCTCACCTCGGGTATGAGGTGGGGGTTGCTGCACCCGTCCTGGCGGGGTGGGCGCTGGGAAAGCAGAGAGGGAGCGGGGCGAGGGGCCCGGGGGCGGGCCAGCGCGGTCCGTGTCCTGGACGCAGGTGTCCCCGCCCCATCGCTGTGCTGTGGGCCCCGCCACCCCATCGGGAGGAACACCCTCTTCACCTCCACCCAGAGAACCGAGACTGGGATAGAACGAGGCACCACACTCTACCCGTAATGAACTCTACCCCACACCCAGCCAGATCTCACAACTTCTGTGTATATTGGGTCATGGCTTCCCCGAAGCCCTAGCTTCCTCCTGATGAGATCGGAGCAAATGGAAGTGAAATAGCTGTAATTAAACCGCGTCAATGATTTTGCACGTGCCTGGAAAGCACTGCGGAGAAGGAAATGGCAACCCACTCCAGCATTCTTGCCTAGAGAATCCCGTGGACAGAGGAACCTGGTGGGCTGCTGTCCATAGGGTCGCACAGAGTTGGACACGACTGAAGTGGCTTAGCATGCGTGCATGCGTTGGAGAAGGAAATGGCACCCCACTGCAGTATTCTTGCCTGGAGAATCCCGGGGACAGAGGAGCCTGGTGGGCTGCCGTCTATGGGGTCTCACAGAGTCTGACACAACTGAAGCGACTTAGCAGCTGCAGCAGAAAGCACTGCCGCAAGGAGAATCACTAGAGTGTGACCGCATGGCCGCTGGCCAACCAGACAGCTGCCTTTGGTTCACAAGGGCCTGGCAGCTTCGACAGGGCGCCCGTCACCGTCTAACTGCCTTCAGGCGGACCCCCCATCACCCTTTGTGACGGGGTCCCCCGGAGCAGACGCCAGGCCGCCTTCCCCGCGGCAGACCGGCTGGGGTCACAGGTGGGACCAGCGAAGCTGTAACTTCTGATAAGCCTGGTCTCCTCAGGAGCCACGGGGTGGGAGGGGAGATGGAGGCGCCTCTCATCTCTGAAGCCCCGGAGAGACTTGCTGCCAGGCGTCCTCTCACCCTGAATTAGAGACAGGGGGCGCCCCACAGGCACAGACAGCCCGGACCAGGATGCTCTGGCCAGCTGCTCTCACGTCAGTCACACGTGGGAACTCTGGGGTTTCCCGCAAACGCTCCTCCGCGGCCAGACCTCCGTTCTCAACCAGCACAGTCTATCGAATTAAAAACAGAATAAAATAAATGAACACATTCTCTCCACCTGGAGTTGGGGGGAGGGCAAGGAAGAGAGAAGCACGCCGTGAGGGTAATTACTCCTCACATCCGTGACACATGGTGGAACTCAGTTCCCACCACTGCCCTGGGAGATTAGCTGTGATTGTTGTTTTAAACAAGAGAGAAAGCATGTCTGAATTTCCAGTGTGTAAAGTGGTCATAATAACACCTACTCCCCTGGGATTGTTAGGAGGGTGAGTTGAGATGCTGCTGCTGCTGAGTCGCTTCAGTCATGCCCGACTCTGCGACCCCATAGACGGCAGCCCAGCGGGCTCCTCTGTCCCCGGGATTCTCCAGGCAAGAACACTGGAGTGGGTTGCCGTTTCCTTCTCCAATGCACGCATGCATGCTAAGTCGCTTCAGTTGTGCCCGACTCTGTGCGACCCCATAGACGGCAGCCCAGCGGGCTCCTCTGTCCCCGGGATTCTCCAGGCAAGAACACTGGAGTGGGTTGCCGTTTCCTTCTCCAATGCACGCATGCATGCTAAGTCGCTTCAGTTGTGCCCGACTCTGTGCGACCCCATAGACGGCAGCCCAGCGGGCTCCTCTGTCCCCGGGATTCTCCAGGCAAGAACACTGGAGTGGGTTGCCGTTTCCTTCTCCAATGCACGCATGCATGCTAAGTCGCTTCAGTTGTGCCCGACTCTGTGCGACCCCATAGACGGCAGCCCAGCGGGCTCCTCTGTCCCCGGGATTCTCCAGGCAAGAACACTGGAGTGGGTTGCCGTTTCCTTCTCCAATGCACGCATGCATGCTAAGTCGCTTCAGTTGTGCCCGACTCTGTGCGACCCCATAGACGGCAGCCCAGCGGGCTCCTCTGTCCCCGGGATTCTCCAGGCAAGAACACTGGAGTGGGTTGCCGTTTCCTTCTCCAATGCACGCATGCATGCTAAGTCGCTTCAGTTGTGCCCGACTCTGTGCGACCCCATAGACGGCAGCCCAGCGGGCTCCTCTGTCCCCGGGATTCTCCAGGCAAGAACACTGGAGTGGGTTGCCGTTTCCTTCTCCAGAGTTGAGATGAGGTTTGTGAAATATCTTTAAGTCAAGTCCTTTCTCTTCCCGTGGAAACCGCCTCACCGGCCCCGAGTCCCCCTCCTGGTCCCGGGAGGTGAGCCACTGGTTACGTGGAGGCAGCAGTGACCTGTGTTGGTCTCTTTCCAGTGCAGCGGCTGGACGTGGTACCTTGCCAATGACTTTCAATTCCATCTCACAACCCCGGTGATCGTCTTCATCCACGGAAAGTGAGTCTAATTGAAACAAGTGTTTCTGCTCACCTGGCCTCTTTCTTCAAACTCTTAGAGAGCCCCCGGTTCTGGGCAAAGCAGCTCTTACAATTTAGAATTTAGAAACTCACGTTTCAGAAGCATGTGGACCCTGACTCCACCACTGTTTACTTCTTCTGAGTTCTCCTCTAATCTTTGTGTTTCTTTCCACTTCACTGTTCTTATAAACATTTCCGCATATGGATGTGACCTGCTGGCTTGTCAGGTTTAGAATTTATGTACCATCTTTTGTGGTGAGCACTTAGATTGTTTCCAGTGTTTCATGATTATAAATGGCTCCTCAGCACATGTCTTTGAACACACCACTTTCTCCTCTTCTGTATTTATTTCCTTGGGGACCTGTTTCCTGGTGGAATTATTAGGTCAAAAGGGAAGAACAATTTTGCAGTGCTTATTACATATCGTGAAATTACTCTTCAGAAAGAGTGAAATAATTTACAGTGCCCCAAGTAACACATCAGTGTACCTGCTTCTCCACCTTGGATATTTATTACCTTAATTTTTGTTAGTTTTAGAAAAGCTCTAAGGCCTCAATAATTCACAGGAAAACTTAAAAATTGTGGATTATCCATGCCATATTTTAAAAGATTTATTATTCTTTTTTGTTCAAATATATGTTCAATTTAAGAAACACTGGAAAACATTACGCTAAAGAAACGGTAAAAAAAACAATCACCCTAGGCCTGTTTCCTCACTTAAGGAGAGTGATTTCACTGTCGATATTTTGATGTTTATTCTTCACTTGTTTTATTCTGCACAGTTTTTTATACATGAAAGAATTCTGCGTATATACTTTAGACATTTGTTTTAATAGTTTAATGATGTAATCGTTTTCCTATATTTTATTGTTCAAGTGAATGTACTTTAAAAATTATTTTTGTTTATTTTTGGCTGATCTGGGTCTTTGTTGCTTCATTGGCTTTCTCTAGTTGCAGAGCTCGGGCTTCTCATTTTGGTGACTTATCTTGTCTCAGAGCAAGGGCTCTAGGCACAAACATCAGTAACTGCACACACAGGCCAAGCAGTTGTGACTGGCAGACTTAGCTATCCCGAGGCATATAGGATCTTCTCGGACCAAGGATCGAACCCATGTCCCCTGCATTGGCAGGCGGATTCTTAACCACTGGACCACCAGGAAAGTCCCTTAAGTAAACAGACTTTCAATGTCTGTATAATATCTCATATTTGTGAATGCACTATAGTTTACCTATACCTTCTTCTAGTGTTAATAGATTATTTCCAGTTTTGTGCTTTTATCAATAACGGTCTCAGAAACATCTCTGTAGTTACCATTTGTCTCCGACTCTGATATTTCTAGAATGCAGATTCTTAAGAAGAGTTTCATGACAAATTGCTTGCCTTAAAGGTTGTAGCAATATTCAGTCCTCTGGTCATCTAATTATACCATTGCCAATATGGACTATTAACAAGATCTATATCTTGCTTTTTAAAAATTATTATTTTAAGACATATAAGAAAACATTCATTTTTCACATCTAATTTGTAAGTCTTTGATTACTGGGCATGGGGCTGAATTCCAAATATGTGCTGACTAGCTCTGTTTTGTGGTTACCTGTTAATGCTCTTTGCAAGGAGACATTTAAATCACAGGCTGACCTGTGATGTTGCCCACTCCAGTGCTATGCAAACAGTCAAGCATCTTGGGCAAGGAAAATGCATCCTAATTTTAATTTAATCTAAGAATTGAACAATTTTTTAAAAGGCAGATTTTTTTACATGCATATCTGAAGCACATGAAGTTTTCTAACTGCAAATGTAAGAGATTTTGGTTGACTGCTTTAAAGAAAAAAATGTCCCACGCTTCCACTAGGCACAGAGGTAGATTGCTGGTATAGAGTTTGAGTCAGAAGATGTGAATTCAAAGCTGGGGGACTCAGCAGAAATCGCTGGACTCCTGTCACTTTTCACATCTGTGAGATGGAGATGACGCACCTCACCGCAGGGCTGGAGGAGACAGCGGGGTCGTACCCATGGAGACCAGCTCATGCCCTCTGTGATGGGCTGTGGCTGCTGCAAGGGCTGCTGCAGGCACCTGGGGGGCAGGTGCGTGGCTCGGCCAACCCTGGAGCCTTGGCCAAGGAGGCCGGGCAAGCCTCTAACGGCTCCGTCGGAGGCGGCCTGGGCAGGATGCCGTGACTGCTGGCATTCAGGGTATTTAGTGAAGGAAGCGCTGGCTTCTCCCAAGGCCTCTCTCCTTGACTTGTAGACGGCCGTGCCTCCTCGTGTGGTCCTCCCTCGGGGCTCTCTGTGTCCTAATCTCCTCTTCTTATAAAGACACAAGTCCCACTGGATTAAGATGCACCCCGACGACCGACCTCATTTCGCCTTAATTATCTCTCTAATGACTCCATCTCCAAATGGAGCCACACTCTGAGGTTGTGGAGGTTAGAATTTGCAGGTCTGGGGGACATGATCCAGCCCACAACAGTCTGTCCTAGGAAGCTTTTAGTCTTTGCAGCTGTGATAGCCAGCGGAGATGTGTCTGACTCCTAAGTAGAGGTGCCACGGTGTGGGCTCCAGTTCCCCAGGGAGTTAGACAAATATTTACTCGAGTGGATGTGGGTTTTTATTGGATGGCCTGACCGGATGGGTTACCACACACCCATCCACCAAGGACAATGCGTTCTCAGTACCTCTGCACTCTAGACCCGGTGGGAACCTGCGTGAGTGTCCCTGTGACCCAGACAGCCTGGCCCCAGAGTCAGCATCTTTCTGAGGGGCTGTCGTGGGAGGCGGGTCTCAATTCCTTGCCTGGAAACCAGCGCCGCCCAAGCCTGTGACCGTGGCGCCAGCGGGGCCTCTAGATGGAACAAGGCATAACAGGTAGGGCTTTTCCCCTCCAAGAACATACTCGTGTAGAATTCCAGTAATTCTAAAGGAGGCTGGAACTGGAGGGTCTGCAAAAGGCACGGTGAGTTGGGACTTCCTGGTGGCCAGTGGTTAAGAACCCGCCCTTTCACTGCAGGTAGTGTGGGTTCGATCCCCAATCAGGTAACTAAGATCCTGCATGCTTCCTGGGGGTGGTGGTGGTGGTTTAGTCACTGAGTCATGTCCTTTGGCGACCGCATAGACTGTATCCTCAGCAGGCTTCTCAGTCCATGGGATTTCCCAGGCAAGAACACTGCTGTGGGTTGCCATTTACTTCTCCGGGGGATCTTCCCTACTCAGGGATTGAACTCACATCTCCTACATTGGCAGATGGGTTCTTTACCACCGAGCCATGGCTTGGCCAAAAAAAAAAAAAAAAAGGCATGGTAAATATACAGGTAAAGATACCTCCCCTGCCCACGCTCATTCATGGCAGACATTACTAGTCAATTACTGCACCACTGAGCTAAGACACCTCCTGCACTCCCAGCACTAGTACTGAGCTAGCACTGGCGCTCTAGATGATGACTTACTCCCTAAGTCACTGTGGTGGGAAGCGAATGGCATCTCATCTCTTCCTCACGAAGGGCCATGCCAACTTCTGCAGTGGACTAGGATTGCCAAGGCAGGGTTGTGCCTGCTTGGTCTGACATCCGTGTTGGACATCTTTTCCACTGCAGACCCTCCTGGTCCTAACCCTCTTGATTCCCAGGAGATAACAACCACTCTGAGCCTCTGTCCTGACACCTCATTTCCTGCCTCAGCACCGAACCCTCTGGCCTACTTACGGAGTCCCAAATTTTGGAGGAATTAATTTTTGTGGGGCTACCTTTGACCCAAGGGGGAATAGAAGATGGTAGGAAAATGCTGCTTTCTTTCACCCCTTAGGACAGTTTTGAGGTGCATTTCAGAAGGCTCCACAGAACATTCTAGAAGAACTGAGCATTGACCACCGTGATAGTGCCTTGCATTGGCCTTCCTTGTTCCCCTGTTCCACACCCCTGCCCTCATTCTTACCTCCACATGAACCATCTGAACCCTGACACTTGCCAGATTTGCATCTGGGTTGGGGGAGGCTCCCCGGGTCCCCCTGTTACGCTGGCCCCTCCCTGTGTCTCACCTGTGCCTGCCAGTCATCTCTCTCCTGAATCAATCACCACTTCTCAATTTTTATTACTTTTTTAATTTTTCTTTTCGTCACACCTCGCGGCATGTGGGCTCTTAGTTCCCCGAGCAGGGATGGAACCCGTGCCCGCTGCAGGAAGTACGGAGTCTTAGCCAGTGGACCCCAGGGAAGTCCGTCCACTTCAGTCCGTTGAGTGCCTCGTGGGTGGCAAGGGGCTTTCCCCAGCTCGGTCTCGTCACGGTAAATTTCAGCGGGAAGATTAAGCTATTCGAAGGCAAGGATTTCACTGCCCGGGATTGGGCTGCTAATAAATGCTCAAGACTGAAGTCTAACTCAGGCTTTGTAACTCCAGCCCAGCTCTGGACACACTTGGCCCCAGGCCAGCCTTTCTCAGAGGCAGGCTGGCAGGAAGCACCTCTGGTTGCCGAGTCTGCCAGCCTCCGGTAGCCCCAGTGTGAGAAGGAACGTGAACGTGCTCCCTTCTTTGCAGAAGTCAGCGTGCCCTCGTCCTGCTCGGGGCCACGCTGCTCCTGGCGTCGTGCGCCGCCTCCGCTCTGCTCACGCTGGCTCACAACCTTCCGGTGGCAGCTCCGTCAGAAGCCAGGTAACCGCCGCGGTTCCCAGCCCGCCGGCTCTGCCCCTCGCCGGCCCTCAGGATGGCCAGGACCTCCCAGGCAGGGCTGCTGAACGGGTGCCAGGCTCTCAGCCCTGCGCACGTCGGCTCCTGCCAAAACCGGGCCGGAACCGGTCCGCCCGAAGGGAAAAGTCATTGCGTGTTTGTTTCCAAGCCTCTGACTCTTTCCGCGGGCGCTGCGGATCTGCTCTGAGCTCGGGGAGCTCCCTCTTGCCCACTGAAACGCTTCCGGGAGGGAAGGGGCGCCCCCACGTGGCTGCATGGCGTCTCTCCTCCGGGGTGAACTGCTGCTGGGAAGCTCTATGGTGGGATGGAGAGACAGAAATGTAAGGAGGTTGGGGTTGCCCCTTCGAGGTCACACGCCTAGTAAGTGGCGCAGGTGTCAGCTGAACCTAGGACCTTGGCCACTTCGCCGCTTTGCCTTTCCGATGGGGCACGTGTAGCAGTTACTCCTCGGTACCGCCCTGAGTCTAATACAGGAAAAGCCAGCGAGATCTCCTGCTCATCTGTTCTCAGCGCAGCAGTCAGGCTGATGTAGATGGAAACCGGATGCTGTCAGTCATCTGCCCAATCCTTCCATTGTTCTCAGGGCAGAATCCCTGTCTGGCAGCATCTGTCTCTCCCCCACCCGCTGACTCTGGACAGGTCTCAGCAGCCTCCTTCCCTCCACACACCCAACAGGCTCCCTTCGCAGGGTCCTCGAACTTGCTGTTCCCTCACAGGAGAACACTGTTCCTCTAGAATCCAGATCTGGGCAAGGCAAGCTTCTTCACTCCCTACAGGCGTCTGTGCGCGTGCCCCCTTCTCAGAGCAGCCGTCACTGACCTCCCAGGGTGAAACAGCCCAGAACTGTGCACGGCACAGACGTGCGCAAGGGGCTTCCCTGGCAGTCCAGTGGTTGGGACTCCATGCTTCCATTGCAGGGGGCACGGGTTTGATCCCTGGTCAGGGAACTCGGATCCCACATGCCACACAGCATGACCAAAAAGGGAAAAAAAAGTGCCCAAAAGGCATTGCTAGTGGAACAGATGAATGGATGAACGACTGAGCACACCCCAGGCTTTTAGACCAGAGAGGCACCACACCCTTCCCATCACGCCATCAGCTTCCATGTGAGCAAGTGGGTGGCCAAGAAGTCAGCTTGCCCCTGCTCTGCCCCGTGGTTCTCAACCCCAGATGCAAATGAGAGTCATCTGTTAGTGGGTGGGGACTGACATCTCACCGATGCTTCCAGCAAGCACCACCCTGGACCAACTGAATATGAATCTCCAGGGCTGGGGCCCAAGCCACCCAATTTTGTGAGAGCTTCCACGAAGAGGTTCACATCGTTCAGAAGAGGTTCACTTCTGGGAACCACATTTTTAGAGCTATCCTGACATGCCAGCCACTGGAAACAGCTATTTAAAAAGAACGCAGTCATATTTCCTTGGGTCCCAGGTTGGCAGGGCCCAAGGGACTTTGGCATTTTAGAAGCCAGCCGTGGCCCAAGGCAGGGTCGTGAGGGCACTGTTGGCGGATCATCACTGAAGAAAGGAACTCATGTACTCCCAGTGTTTTTGGGTTTAGCTGATTGTCCCAGTGAACGTCTGAGAGATGCCTTTATCCACGTCCAGATCAGATGTAACCTCTGGCCTTTTGTCCTTGTGTTTTTCAGTGAAGAGGCAGCCAGACTGTATTTCCTGGAGTATTACACAAAGCCCTACTGTCGATACGGGCCTTTCCTCGTGGGCCTCTTACTGAGCATTTTCATGCACCATCACCAGGCAGACATTCTGAGAACCAAGGTACATGGCTCCCCCATGCCTCACTGTAGGAACCAGCTTCACTTGGGTCAGACTGCCCTTGGCCAGGCTCTTCCAAAGCCCTGGGCAGCAGGCAGACTTCTGGGTACTTGACTGTGCTGTGGTGTGTCCACAACGGCTCTTGATGCCAGAGAATAAGAGGAACCTTGTCTTCTTCCCTGATTCTCTGCTGTCCTCACTGAGCTCCCCTTAGAAAGCTCCGGATCCAGCATCCAGCCGGGTGCCACCCATTGGAGCCCTGGTACAGACCCAGAGAAACCTCTGATGTGGGAAAACACACCTGCTGAGATGGCAAGGGCAAGCCCCTCTTCTGGAAGGTCATGGTGACGTGGGCTGGATTTTCTTTAATAGCAAAAGCTGTTTGGCTTCCAGAAATAAGATTCTTGGTCAGATTTGATGGTTCCGTCTGGGAATCAGGTTGTGAGGTGTTTAGAAAGCTGTCACTTTGCCTTCCAGATGAGGTTTCTTCCCTGTGGGCAATCATTCTGGTTCACCATCCAAGGCCATAGGTCAAGCCAGNAAGAAGGGTCAAGAATCCCTTTGCACTATTCAGGGGCCATGCTGACCCCAGACCCCCTCAGCTAGGCTCTCCTTTGGTGTGTTGAGGTCTTGAGGGCGCCTCATCTAAATGTTCTAGAGACAAGGCCCTGGGCCTGGGAAAGCCTTGTGTTGCTCGTAGCAGGAACAGGAGCTGGGGCGTCACGGGAAGCGATGGATCCACAGGGCTACAGGACTTTTCCTGTAGGCTGGAGTGACGATGCTTCCTTGAAAATGCACAGTCAGGTTGTACATTCTAACAGAAGGCCATTCAGAGGTGCTTTGGGACTTCTTTGTGGTCCGGTGGTTAAGGATCCACCTTGCAATGCAGGGCACATGGGTTCGATCCCTGGCGCGGGAAGATTCCGTATGTCTCAGAGCAACTAAGCCCCGGCACCAAAACTGCTGAAGCCGGTGTGCTGCGAGCCTGGGCTCCGCAGAAGTCCCCGCAAGAAGGCCACACACAGGAGCAGCTCCTGCTCACCGCAACCAGAGAAAGCCCTTGTGCAAGAACGAAAATCCAACACATACACACACACACACACACACGCACGTGCGCACACATACACACGAGGTGCTTTAGTGTAGTCCAGGTTCATAATGCCCAAGGAGAAAATGGGTGTGGACAGAGGGGAAAGCCTACGATGAGACGGAGCATTTGGGAGCCACTTCAAGGACCAGGTCAGGACCAGGGAGTATAGAGTTAGAACACAAGTCAGGCGCAGCTGGAGGAATGACTTAGAAGAATGAGTAGGCCAGGGGCAAACTCTAAGCCAGAAAAGAACAGAGTCCCCGCCCGAGGCCGCTGAGGCATGTTCCGTGTAGTAGGGATGAGTAAGGCAGCGTGTATTCTAAGAGCGAAAGGGACCCTAGGCTCAAAGAAGAGGCTCGCGGAGAGCTCTCGAGGAAGTAACTTCGTTCCCTGCCGCCAGAACCTGAGGCAGGAGCCTGAGACCCAAGGGAGAGCTTCTCTTTAGAGATAAGACAGTAGAATAAGAAGTAGAATAAGAAGCTAGTTCAGGTCAACGTAGATGTCATCGTAGCACCCAGAGAACTGGAACAGAGAAGCAAGAGAGACCCTTGGAAGATGGGTCTGGGTCTAAAAAGGTCAGTCAGTTCAGTTCCGTCACTCAGTCGTGTCCGACTCTTTGTGACCCCATGCACTGCAGTGTGCCAGGCCTCCCTGTCCATCACCAACTCCTGGAGCTTACTCAAACTCCTGATGCCATCCAACCATCTCATCCTCCATAATCCCCTTCTCCTCCTGCCTTCAATCTTTCCCAGCATCAGGGTCTTTTCTAATGAATCAGTTCTTGGAATCAGGTGGCCAAAGTACTGGAGTTTCAGCTTCAACATCAGTCCTTCCGATGAATATTCAGGACTGATTTCCTTTAGGATGGACTGGTTGGATCTCCTTGCTGTCCAAGGGACTCTCAAGAGTCTTAAACCCCTGAAAAGGTCAGATAAGGTGAAATCTAAGATCTTGAACTGAGCCCAGTAATACTGATTGAATTTAACTCACAGGGCTATTCTGTGAGCTGGAAACGTCTCCATTCTCCCGTTCCTTCATGCTGTGTCCCCAGTGACGGGCGTGGCCCAGGTATGGGCTGTGTGCTGGGGGCTGTCACATTTAGGGTGGGGGCAGAACCAATCGAGGAGCCCTATTTGTTTGGAACAGAGTGGGAGGTTCGGAGTGGTGGGGGGCACGACTAGAGCATTGCCTTTCCTTCTTTCTTTTAACTGTAAAAATGATTCAAATTTCACTATAAGTTGCAAAAGTAGTAGAGATCTTGTGAATCCTCAACCCTTGTTTCTCCACCAGTAAGATGTTCTGTTGACTATGGGATGTGATCCCAACCGAGACACTGATGCTGACACAATCCATCCGCCTTAGAGCCACCAGTTTCACGTGTACACGTTTGTGCGTGTGTACAGTTTTGTGCAGTTTTATCATGTCTGTAGGTTTGTGTAACCACTGCCCCCATCAAGGTGCAGAGCTCCCCTGCCACCACGAAGGTCACCCTCGTGGATGTGGTCACACACCCTTCTGGCCCCCACCCCGCCCCCACCCTGACCCTTCGTAGCCTCTAAGCTGAGCTTTCTGTTCCAGTCCAGTCTGGGCTGATTGAGGTTTACCAGTAGGCCCTGAAAGTGACTGACAACACACCAAATGTCAGTGTAACAGGGATGACATGCCCGGTGGCCAGGATGGGCTGTGAGCAGAGCCTCTCCTCTCCCCCAGGGGCAGGCTCTGCTGGGCTGGGGGTGCTCCCTGTCGACCCTCCTGTTAGTGGTCGCCCTGGCCTACACGGTGGATGACGTCTCCCCCACCTCCTCCGTCGCCGCTGCTGTCTACCAAGGCCTCCACCGGACCGTGTGGGCGGCGGCCGTGGGCTGGGTCCTGTTCGCGTGTCAGGAAGGCTATGGAGGTAGGATGCAGCGTTGGGCTTGCGCGGGGCTCACACGCTGGTCTGTTAAGGGTGACAATGTGAGAACACGTGTACATGGACTAGTATTGACCGATGAATGACAGACAGAGACTCAAAAACACCCTTTGTCTACATATTTGGGGAAACCCACACGTATATTCTGGAGAAGGAGGTGGCAACCCACTCCAGTATCTTTGCCTGGAAAATCCCATGGACAGAGGAGCCTGGTGGGCTGCAGTCCATGGGGTCATAAAGAGTTGGACATGACTGAGTGACTAACACTTACTTACTTACCCATATATTCTGTTTGAGATGTTTATACCGGTTTATATACACATGCAGGTTCTAAAAGAAAAATCGGCAGCCTCTCCAATGAAGCTAGTTTAGAAATTAAAATAGAGAGTTCCTGGTGATCCTGTGGCTAAGACTCCACACTCCCAATGCAGGGAGCCCGGGTTTGATCCCTGGTTAGGGAACTAGATCCCACGTGCTGAAACTATGAGCTCATATGCCACAACCGAAAGATCCTGAGTCCTGCAAGTAAGACTTAGTGCAGAAAATCAAATAAATAAATGTTTTTAAAAAAAAAAAAAAAAAAAGAAAATTCTTGTTTAAAAAAAAGAAAAAGAAATTGGAAGTGAGCAGGTAAGGTAATGTCATGAGGAAGAAAATCGCAGTGCTGGGACCCACTCCCACCGTCGTCTTCCCCTCTGACCATGTGAACTAAAGAGTTAGCAACACTCCCTCAGCCCTTTGATAATGGGGACACTCTGTTGAGCCAGCCTTTCGGAGTGGAACAGATAAAGAGCTTAAATGGAAAGAAAGGATCTTCTCTAGATTAGAAATGTCTGTTCCGATCACCTGACATTTCCCTCCTTTCCTCTCTATTGGCCACAAGGTACCTGCTCGTGTGCCACTGTGAGTCGCTCAACCGTGTCCGACTCTTTGTGACCCCGTGGACTGCAGCCCGCCAGGCCCCTCTGTCCATGGGCTTCTCCAGGCCCCTCTGTCCATGGGCTTCTCCAGGCCCCTCTGTCCATGGGATTCTCCAGGCCCCTCTGTCCGTGGGCTTCTCCAGGCCCCTCNCTTCTCCAGGGGATCTTCCCGACCCTGGGATCAAACCCGTGTCTCTCACATTGCAGGCAGATTCTTTACTGTCTCAGCCACCAGAGAATCCCACGAGGTGCTTGACGTATCAGCAGATGACCAAGAAAGGCTGGCAGGAATCTCTCAAGTGGAGACACCACACATTTGCACCCCTCCCCTCCCCGGGAAATAATCGGGGTGAGTTTAAAACTTGGCCTGTGAACCCAAACCCATTAGCCTCAGCAAAGGTGGCTGGAAAAACCTGGTGAAGTAAACATAATGAGTGCTGCTTACTGAATGCAAGCTCGGGTCAGGCCCCGCAGAGAACTTCACCCGCCGCCTCAGGCAGCACTGGCCACACGGCTACAGGTAGGGCTATAAACAGCTCTGTTCCCAGCAAGGAAAATGGGGCCTGGAGATGAAGCCTGCTAGGAAGGTCACACAGCTGGAAAGCGAGTCTGGGCCTCAGGACGCAGCCTGAAGCCCCTCTTCATTTCTGCATGCCAGCCCCTCTCCCCACTCAAGG